AACAGGGCCTAAGGTCTGTGCTTGAGGAGTGGTCAGTGTGAACAGGGCCTGGGGACTGTCCTGGAGGAGTGGTTAGTGTGGCCAGGGCTTGGAGTCTGTCCTGGCAGAGTGGTCAGTGTGGCCAGAGCCTAGAGCCTGGAGTCTGTCCTAGAGGAGATGCCAGTGTAATACATAGTTATTGACCATGTCCAATTGTGTACACCTTGGAATCTTCATAAGACCTCATTATAAACATATAGTGGAGTTGAAAGATTTGAGCAAGCCGCCCTCCCCTCTTCTCCCATTGGTGAATCCTCAGTCTCTGGGTCAGAAAGGATCTGATGTGTTATAACCTCTGACTGTGAGAGGGCTCTCAGTCAGTACACTTTGAGACAATCACACTACTTCATTTCTCCTGCAGTCACTGCTGATGTGGAACACATATAATGTGCATGCGATGTGTACATTGCGTACATCTCTGGACATGGATTCTGTGCTTGAGGCTCTGTTTCATTGAAGATCAGTAGGTCGCTACACTATCAGGGGATGATGTGGAGGTGCCAGTGTTGGACTGGGGTGGACAAGGTCAAAAGTCACACGACACCAGGTTATAGTCCAACAGGTTTATTTGAAATCACAAGCTTTCAGAACGCTGCTCCTTCATCAGGTGGGTACCAGAGGATGAGGAGGCTTTGGAGACAGTACAGAACAGGTCTACCAGAATCTTGTGTGGTTTGGAGGGTATTAGCTATGAGGAAAGATTGGACAAACTTGGTTTGTTTTCACTTGAATGTCAAAGGATGAGGGTGACATGACAGAAGTTTACAAAGTTATGAGAGGCATGAATAGAATGGATAGTCGGAGTCTTTTTCCCAGAGGAGAAATGTCAATTACTAGGGGACATAGGTTTAAGGTAAAAGGAGGAAAGTTTAAAGGAGATGGGAGAGGTAGTTTTTTAACACAGAGGGTTGTGGGTGCCTGGACTTCGCTGCAAGAGGAGGTAGTGGAGGGCGACACAATAGTAGTGTTTGAGAGGCATCTTGACAGATATGTAAATAGGCAGGGATTGGGGGGAAACAGATCGCTTAGATGCAAAAGGCTTTTAGTTTAGTAAGGCATTATGTATAGGTGCAATCATGGTGGGCTGAAGGGCCTGTTCCTGTGCTGTACTGTTCTTTGACAAGTATGAGTGTGTGTGTTTGTATCAATGAATGATGATGTGTTAGAATGAAATTTATTGAGGAATTATGTGAATGTCTCAATAACTTCAATCAGGATACTACACTCAAGCTTTCCCTCACTCAGGGATCTCTCTGTTTCCTCTTTGGAATGACATGCACCTCAATGGGGTCTGGTCAGCAGCATTACTGCTGTTAACAGTCACTGACACAAAACTGGGGCAGATTGTAAGTGACAAGTTGACTTCAATGTTGAACTCAGATTAAACATCCAAACAGCTTGGTGGGTGTGCTGGCCACGTCTGTGGGGTTCATTCAAGTCCAGCTAAGGCCTGTCACCGTTTCTTACTGAATCAAAGCTGTGGTTTATTCACTGCAATATGAACAGATTTCTCATGAGTGTTATTGCTGTCTGGGTACATGTACAGACAATGGTATCTGTGTACATACAGGCATATACAGGCAAGTACAGCATACTATATGATACCATTGTGTGACTGATGTTATTGGTGTAGATATGGGCATTTTATTATGAGTACGGGCATCATATGGTATATAGGTATGTGCATCCGAGAGTGAGAGTATTGTAGATATGAGCAGCCCATGGGCAGTGTTATTGGTGCAGGGCTGAGCAGCTCTGAATCCATCTAGAACAATGACTCTGGCTCTCTGACAATGTTTCCTGTACAGGTACTAGTCCAGCGCTGTGGTGGAACTGTGCACAAAACAGATCCCAGTTTATTTCCCACATCACCCTCTCTCCCACCTGCACAAACATATTGTATTCATTTGCAAACAGTCATTTTCATCAATTGTAATGTTTCTTTATCATGTCATTTTGGGGCTGGTTTCCCTCCCTAAAACTTCCAAGTAAGATCCTCGATCATTGCAGCGCAGAATTTCCTCCTATCCTGCTGATTCTGTCACTGGGAAAAGACTCAGTTGATGGACTTCAGATGTGAGAAGTGTCTGACGTTATTTGCAGCATAAAAAGAGCTTCTGAACTGAACCAACAGTCTCCCGTGTGGTCTGCTGCCTTCGCCACCACAAATCAAACTACAATTCCCCTTCCATAGGGGGCATTCTGGGCATATCCCCCAGCCCCACCCAACTCAATGATGGTGAATCGTGCTTTTATTTCCCTCGTCTGAAACAGTTGCTGTTAACAAACGTGAAAATGAAATTGCTCCTAAATGGTGTCCATGGACTTCTATTAACCCTTTCATCATCTTATTTCAAAGCTGCGTAACCTACTGCAGTCATTAGGTACGGTGAAACACTAAATCCTCTTACAATTTAGAATTTAGGTCCATATTACCATGTTTATACACCCTTTGCCATAAAGGTACTTGTGTATAATATGTATATTCTAAATATTTATATTGCCGGCTGTAAATATTATTTGGATGTTGCTCTGTGTTCAGTTTTTTCTCCGTGTGCTTGGACAGTGTTGACAGATCCATACCCAGCTTAATAAAAAACAGCAGCTGTGCTCAGTTCCTGGGGAGAACCCACTGTCTCAGTCTTTGGCTCTCATTTTCTCACTTTTTGTCACACACAATTTCTCGAGCTCTCACTCTCTCTGCATATGTCATTATTTGTCTCCATCACTTACTATCTCTATCTCTTGTCTTCAGCCTCTGTATCATACACCTCTGTCTTCCCATCTGTCACTATCTCACATTCTTTGTCTCTATCATCTGTTTCGATCTCGCTCTGTATCTCTCACTCTCTGTCCATGTCTTTTACTCTCTATCTCTCATTCCTTCTATCTCTTATTCTGACAAGTACTATCACTGGACCATTAATCCAGAAACCCAGTAATATTTAGGGACCCAAGTTCAAATCCCACCATGGCAGTTAGTGGAATTTGAATTCAAGAAAAGGCTAATGATCATCCTAAATCCAATGTTGAATAGTTCCCTGATACTCATTAGGGAAGGTAATTACTATCCCTACCTGGTCTGGCTGAGCCTGCGTTTGACTCTTCACTGCACTCTGAAATGGCCCAACTCATTTGTAACAATTTCTAGAAAGTCTCAAAAAGGAAATAAAACTCGACAGAGGCAATGGAAACAACAACTGCAAAAAACAGCCCTCTCAACCCTGTAAAGTCATACTTATATCACCTGGGGGTAAGTGTGCCGAAAATTGGGAGAGCTGTCTCATAGACTAGTCAAGCAATAGTCTGACATAGTCAGACTCAGGACAAACCCAGCAGAGGTGGTGGCACAGTGGTATACAGTCAGGAGGAAGTTGCCCTGGAGTCCTCAACATTGACTCCAGGCCCCATGAAGTCTCATGGCTTCAGGTTAAACATGGGCAAGGAAACCTTCTGCTGATTACCAGGCACTCTCCTCCCTCAGCTGATGAATCAATACTCCTCCATGTTGACCAACATGTAGAGAAAGCATTTAGGGTGGCAAGCGTGCAGGATGTACGCTGAGTAAGGCTTTCAATGTTGACCATCAAGAGTGGCTAAGCAGAACACCGCTGATCGAGCTGGTCAGGTCCTAAAGGACATAGCTGCTAGACTGAGACTGGGGTGCGTGGGAAAAACATACTTGATTTCATACAACAGATAGCCATGATGTGGAGGTGCCAGTGTTGGACTGAGATGGATAAAGTCAGAAGTCACACAACACCAGGTTATAATCCAACAGGTTTATTTGAAATCACACAAATTTCCAGAACATAGCCCATTCATCAGGTGAAGTCTTCTGTTGGTGAATAACTTGGTGTTGTGTGACTTCTGATTCATAGAACAGTATCGCACAGGAATTGGCCATTGGGCTCATGATGTTGTGCCGAACATTGTGCCAAATTAAACTAATACATTCTGCCTGCCCTTGGTCCATATCCCTCCATTCTTTGCATTTTCCTGTGCTTATCTAAAAGCCTCTTAAATGTCCCTATCATATCTGCCTCCATCACCACTCCTAGCAGCAATTTCCACACTCCTACCACTCTCTATGAAAAAACTTGCCCCTCACTTCTCCTTTGAATTTTTGTTCCTCGCCTTAAATGCACGCCCCTAGTTTTAGACATTTCAACTCTGGGAAAAAGATTCTGACTGTCAACCCTATCTATGCATCTCATAATTTTATAAATGTCTATCTAGTCTCCCCTCCGCTTCTGCAACTCCAGACAATACAACCTGAGTTTTTTCTAGCCTCTCCTTACAGCTCATACCCTCTAATCCAGGCAGCATCCTGGTAAACCTACCACATCCTTCCTGTAATGTAGTGACCAGAATTGAATGCAATACTCTTAAGTGTGGTCTAACCAAAGTCTTATAAAGCTACAACATGAAATCCTGACTCTTGTACTCAATTCCCCGACCAAGAAAGGCAAGCATGCCATAAGCCTTCTTTACCACCCTATCTACTTGTGTGGCCGTTTTCAGAGAGCTATGGACTTGAACCCCAAGATTTCCCTTTACATAAATGCTGTTCAGGGTCCTGCCAATAAATGTATACATTTCCTTAACATTTGATCCCCCAAAGTGCAGCACCTCACAGATTACCCAGATTAAACTCCATCTGCCATTTCTCTGCCCATATCTGCAATTGATCTATATCCCACTGTATCCTTTGACACCTTTCTACACTGTTCACAACTCCACCGATCTTTGTATCGTCTGCAAACTTACTAACCCACCCATTTACATTTTCATCCAAGTCATTTAAAGATATCACAAACAGCAGAGGTCCCAGTATTGATTCCTGTGGAACACCACTAGTCACGGCCCTCCAGCCTGAAAAACACCCTTCCACCACGACCCTCTGTCTTCTATGGGCAAGCCAATTCTGAATCCAACCAACCAA